CAAGATGGTTTACAAAATATTATGCTGATTAAAAGATGTACAAAGACATCTAATGTGTGTGTGTGATTTTAAAATGCAAATAAACTATAGAATTACAATCATTTAAAAATTCATTGACAGACAGAAGGTACAAATCACCAAAACAGTACATCATTAAAATCCTACTGCAGTCAATTTCTAGAAGCCTGTTAGAATAGAAAAAAACAAAACACTTGTAGGTGGAATGGCAGTAAGAGCCATTGTAGCCTCATCTTGGCTGCCAACATCTGGGAGCAGCCACCAGCAAGGCCTTCTCTCTTGTTCCCACTAAATGTGCCTAGAAAGGTAGTGGGATTGAAAGAAGGGCTTCTCCCGAAGATCTTAGAGCTTAGGCAGAATCATACATGAATATAAGGTCCTTCTGATAGTCTGGACTCCAACTGTATTGGACTTAATAGGTCATCACAAGCATTTTGAGTTGTGCCTGGGAATAGATGGACAGCCAGTGGAGCTGTTGTGAAGTTGTGCGCTCCCAGCAGTCAACTCAGTTAACAAGTTTTGGGGTATTATGTTGGGGCTTTTCGCCCTCTAAAAGTACAAGCCTGCCACTTTTGAAAACTCCACAAGTGAGGCTTTTGGGGGTGGGGGAACTAGACCTCTCAGATGGACCTGTGGGACCCCATACATCCCATGGGCTGCACTTTGTCTAGCCCTATTCTGCATAATCTCTCAGGATAATGTCACTTGTTCCCACAGTGCCCATGATCTTTCAAAGGCAGATTACTTATTTCCAAGATTATTTCTAGCTACTCCATCTTCTGTTCAGTCCCATGTGATGTTCTCTATTATATTTCCTTGAGGATGTCCTGCCAGCTTGTATGCTGATCAGAACAAGGACATCTGCTTTTTCCACCCAATCACTCTCTCCTATTCCATTTCATTGACTCATTTATAATAATAATCTGCTTTTTCCACCCAATCTGCTTTTTCCACCCAATCACTCTCTCCTATTCCATTTCATTGACTCATTAATAATAATAATAATAATAATAATAATAATAATAATAATAATAATAATAATCTTTATTACAGCCATTTGGCCAGCACAATTACAAAATTGATTCATTTGGACTAGCAGAGATCAGCCTGTGGGATCGCCATTATACCCACTGGGTCCACTGATGTACCATGGCTGACACCTCTGTCTGTTTGCAAACTGCCTTAGTGGTACTAAAATAGACACAACATTTATTACAAACAGGTATTGTTGGAGGGATAAAATCTCTTTCTTCCTCTGAGCAATTGCTCTTCTCTGATCTTGTCAGTTTTGTTCTTCTCAGTGAAGCACCTTCAGCCATATCTCTGCTCTTTTCCAAAAAGCATTATGTATTTTACTTCTTGTGGATAAATTTGGTGAGCTCTAAGGCTGTTGTTGTTGTTAACTACTCTCAAGTTGGCTCCGACTCATGGTGATCTTATGGTTGAGCCATCTTCAATATCTCCTGTCCTCCACTGCTCTGCTTAGCCTGTAAATTCAGGCCTGTGACCTGCCTGATAGAATATATCCATCAGGTGTACCATCCTATTTCTTTCTACTGCCTCTCTCACCAGTAGTCTTCTCAGATGCTTGGAAATCTGCTCTGCAGGGTCTCCCTGATCACTGGAGTAGGGTTTAAAGGTCCAAAACACACTGCAGAAATAATTCAGTTTGAGACAGCTTTAACTGCCCTGGTTCAGAGCTAGGGAATCCTGGGAATTGTAGTTTATTAAGGCACCAGAGCTCTCTGACAGGAAAGACTAAATGTCTCACAAAACTACAATTTTCAGAATTCCCTAGCATTGAGCCAGGGCAGTTAAAGCGATCTCAAACTGGATTGTTTCTGCAGTGTGTTTTGGACCAAGGTATATTTGTGGTGGGACAGCAGGAGGGAGGGCAAAATTCCCTGCTCGCCCCTATAGTATGCTTATAGTCAGTAATGGTTAATTGGTATGACCTCCTAATTTTAGGCCTAGCATGAATTCATGTCATTTCCTGTTCACTGGTCTTAGCTGCATCCCCTCTCTGCATCGGTTAATCTGCAGTTTGACTGAGTTTTATCATTGTTCATTTTGTAGTCCTCAGTTCTCTTTCTTTCCTCCATGTTTGAAGAGGACACGTTATAGAGCTTCTCACCATGAAATGATATGTGTCATGTCCAACCTGGAGGAGGCCTCCTCAGATAAAAAAGGAAACAAGAAGAGCTTGACAAGCTGACAGGCCCCAGTTGGAGCCAGAAAAGACTTGCAATGTGTCCATGGTACTGGCAGAGCCCAGCCCAGTCCCTCCCAAGTCTAATTTGCAGTGCAGAAGCCATGCAGTTTGACACTGATTTAACTGCCATGGCTCCATTCTATGGCTTCCTGGGATTTGTATTTTATTGTGGCATCAGAGCTCTCTGACAAAGAAGGCTAAATATCTCACAAAA